TATGATCGATGATCGTCCATGTGTACTGAGTTCAGCTTTCGCGATTTATCTTTTCACTTCATCTTTATAAATTATTTTTTGGTTTGCGATTAGAAAGACTCGAGCTAGATGTAAGTTTCAGCGGGCATTGCGCTCGAAGAAAGAAAAGGCTGAAAGCTGAAGAGGCCCGGCAAACAGCCACGAAGAGGGTCACAACAAATGGCTTCTCATCCTCTGAATTTAAATGATTCCAGAGCATGGGAGGTCATTCTCGTTACTACTTTGTCACTATGCTCTTTTAGTATTTGTAGTTGTATTGTTTTTTTTTTCATCATCGTTTATCATCGTTTTGGGCAAATCGTGGTTTTTCTTCTTAGCGTTGCGAAAGATTGATTACGGGTTGAATTAGAGTTGCGAAATAGTTTCGAGTCTGTTCATTAGTGTTGCGAGAAATTGATTACGGTTTAAATTAGAGTTGCGAAGAAATGATAATCGTGTTTGCTTTAGAGTTGCGAATTATGATACTGCGATATTTTTTGCAATTTTGATTGTTAATATTGTGAATTTGGTTTTAAAGTTAGTGCAACATTATTACATACATCGCTTTTATTCATAGTGTTGCGATATTCCCTCGTGATTTCCAATTAGCTTTCTTCTAATTGTTAGTGTTGCGATAATGAACGAACGCGTTTCTTTTCTGAAGTAGCGTTGCGTTTACGAGATGCCCAAATTCTCCCACTGGATTCGTGGAAAGCAATTCCTGCTTCTGTATCACCTGATGCAGTTACAAAAGTTGTACAAAGGTGGTCATTCATCAGTAACTTCTAGCATGGTTGCACTGGACGCGTCGCTATTAATGTTGCGTATTTCTAAATATGAGTGCATAGATAAATGGCTTTGCGTACTTACTTTCGGTTTTAAATATGACGAAGCACTTTTCGCGTTTGATTTTGAAAATTTTCTGTTTCACAATTAATGCTAGTGAATTAGTGTTGCGAAACAAGATACGGTTTGTTGCTCGGATTCATGTCAGTTGTAAATTTGACAATAGTCCTTCTGGTTATTGTATTGAGTAGGAAATTCTTTCAGTAGCTCTTCTGGCTATTGTATCGCGATTTCTTTTCCAGTGGCTCTTCTGGCTATTATTTTAAATTTTCTTTGTCATTAGTCCTTTTGGTTACTGTTACCTCTTTTGCGTAATGCGCAGTCTTGGTCAATTAACAGAAAAATGTGCCGTATAAAATTAATTCAAAATATATTTGAAATTCTAATCACGAATATTCAGAGTGTAATTTTTAATTTTACAAATTTTACAGTTATGTTACAGTTATTTGACAATATTACGGAATAATAATATATAATGATTTTTTAATATATTAATTAAATGTTCCACGTTTTTAATATAATGTTTTTTATTAAGTAATAATTAGTTGGTAAGTTTCAAAAAATTTGAAAATCACGATTGTAATTTTGTTAGAAAAATTTCTATCATTACGTCATTATGATAGGAAGAAAAAGGAGAAGTCGAAGGAAGAAATAAGTCTCTGTTTTACAAAATCTCTTTTTTATTGATGCTTCGACAACATGGGCTGAGACACACACATTTGCTCATATGAATTTATACCACTGCGTGTTTCAACATATACATACACAGTTCGTTAAATTATTGTATCGCGCTGCACTAGATGTAATAACTAAATTAACTTAGAATCGTGTGTTTCATATTGTTAACTGTTTGAGAGAATGTCGATTACAAGCTTTTTATTGTTTGTCGATTTAAATCAGTAACGTAAGCAATGAACGCAATAATATATTTGAGAACATTAGATAAGTATTGTACATTCTCGGTTAAAAAATATTTTTTTATTCTAAAGAAAAATTAAATGTCTTTTTCAAGACGAAAGCAACAAAATTATTTTTTTTTTTTTCTTTAGCAAAGATTGTTCGTTTCTTCGTTATAGAAAAATAAATAAACAATATGAATTATTATGATTTAATCGTGAAAGATATGTTTTGACGATAATTCATACGTTCAGTAATAAGACAAAGGGACAATTTCTTCTCGAGAAAATACAACGATGGCGAGGAAGTTATAATAAACCTAAGAGTATACAAATGTTATGAGATAGCACGATTCTAATGAAGTGATCCTCTGTGCGCAATTGCGTGATACCGTGATACCTTCAGATTCGATAAGCTCCTTCGCACGATTAATCATCATTGAACTTGATCTACACGAATAGTAATTTTATCCAAAGTGAGAGAGTCTTTTCGCCATTCTTTTTTTAATCTTCGATATCAAATGTCTCTGTTTGTGATGTGTGCTCGTATCTTTTTCTTTCTTTTTCTTTGTCTTTCTTTTGTATCGTTTTGTCTTTTTTCTTTTTTTTTTTTTTCTTTGCAGCATCGAAATATGAAAAATTCATTTTCGACCATTCTATATGCATACATACATGCATACACACACTTACATATATGTATATACATATATATTCGAGGAGATCCACATGGGTCGCAAGAATAGGTTGACAGTATTAGACTCTTCTAATAGACTTTGCAGACGGACATAATAGAAATATTTAATATATAGCATCATATATTAATATAATATTTAGTAATAATATAATATCTATTATATATTAATATGTATGATATTTTTTTTTGTCTGTTTTTTTAATAATAGCGTCCTTTTTTCTTCTCGCTTTGTCTGAGGTGTGATATCCAGCGATTTCTTTTTTTTTTTTTTTGCTTTTTTTAAATGTTTTTCTTACATTCAAATTCAGTACACGATGTAAGTACGATTTCGCTTCAGCCTTATTCGGATACTAATCCTCATTGAATTTATCAGGCATTTTGTACGACCTGTTGACTTATGCAACCATCGTCCGGTCGTTTGCGTACTCTATCGTAGAAATAAAATATACGTGATTCCCTTCGAAATGCCTCGAATCAAAGATAAAAACGAAAAATTTTCACGTTTGATGTTAAATAAAATGGCAACGCGTTTTCGCGAACGATTTTAAAAGTCTATTCTATAAATTAAACGTGGGTTAGATGTCGTGTTGAGAGAAAAGCAACGAAGAATATATCATGAAAAAGACACGTTTAATTTTTCCTTGATTCTTCAGAAGGATTACCAAGAATCGAAGAATTCGTCGGATCGAAAGACAATGATTCATAAGTTCGTTAAAGTCATTTAAGAAATTTACTAACACGTTGAGTATATAAATATTTCAAGTCACATAAACCTTTCTGTTTCTATCATCAGATTGTTCCACAAAAATCGAAGCAACTTCGGTTCAAGATTAAACGATTTCTATTTAAAGGCAGGTGATAAATCCAACAACACCCCACTGGGGATGTTCACAATTTCGTTCGTTAGACACGAGTACCGGATGTCAAACGTCGTGAAACAATCTGACGTGTCCACCCAACGTACAATAAATAGAATCGTCTAACGTGCCTCAATTTATCTCATATACAAGTAATAAAACGTTTCGAGAAGTTTATTCGATGAACTAAGCGATTGGCCTTAAGCGTCTAATTATTCTTAAATGGAAAATCAACGTTTGACGAGTACGACGCTCGTAACGAGGAGATGTAAAGTAACGTAACGATGATCGATAAATGAAAGATACATGTGGCTACACGTCGATAGCGAAAAATTGTCCAGGAACCTTGTTTCAAGCGTGGATACTAATACAGTTGGAAAACTAAAATGCACGAAAGAAGCTTGCTCAGTTGACGCGAGATTTTTGTACAAAAATGCTTCGCTGTGTCAGCGACGTCGCGAAACGATCTCCACGAACAAAGTTTATACAAGCGTATTGCGAAGCATGGAGGATCGTTCAGAGATTGATACACACACACACACACCGACGTTGTTAAAAATTGTGCAGAGAAACGATAGTGAGGGAGTGAGGAAGGAAGGAGGAAAGTGAGAAAAGGCGTAGAAAGGAAACGAGAAGTAAAAGTACGTGCCCAGGAGACCGGAGTTTTAAAATATTTTTGCATCTCGTGCGTGATTTTACATCGCTAGACTTCACGAATAATCGTTTATTATTATATTATTATACTTCCCTACGTAACTACCATTCATCTTTGATATTTCTTTTCTAAATCATCCTCTTCCACTTGTTCTCGTACTCATATAATTTCAAGAAAATAACATTCGTACAAAATTGACTACAGCCGATTGCTTTTACATGATGTGTACGGGTTCGATCGATTTCGAAGTTCTCTTTTTTTTTTTTTTTTTTTTCAAAATTATTCCCGCGTGAAAACGGAGGAAATCAAAGTGCATACATCCATCTATCCTTCTAACCCTCGTCCACCATTAATCTTCTCTCGTTTCCGCGTTTTTTCTCGTTAAGATATGACGTGTATACCTATTGACCTGACCGATAGATTCCGACCGGTTCCTTTTCCTTTAACCCATTCGACACGAGCGTTCGACAGTTTCACTCGTTCGTCGACGTTCTTTTCTAAGATATACAGTTGCGTAGAATCATTTTGTCGATACACGTGTAGGTAGATTTCCAGGTAAAACGTTACTACGCGTCCGTCAGGATAAAGTTTTACTTGGCAAACTGTTACCTATGTAGTCTGTCGTGTAATTCGAACGACGTAAATTACGCTCGTTACTGCCTTTTTAGAATCAGTACGTGGTACAACATTAAATTGATCGGACAGGAATATCAAATCAGTATTTTCTGATTTCAATCTGAAGTAAAATTGTGTACGTGTAGCTATCGTTGAAAACTGATGACAGTGAAATTAACGTCGGGAAACGCTATTGTTCCAATTTCAATTCCGTACGTCGAATTATTCACGATCTGCTTGTATTTCGTAGTTCTTGGAATATTTTTCAGTTACTTCTTCCTTCGTCGTCCTCGTTCTTCCTCCAATTTATCATGTCGAAGGGGTTAACGTGTACATCAGATCCGTTCGTTCAGGGTCGCCTGGAAAAGTCTTATCGAATTAAGAAAATATGCGGGGACATCTTCGTAATTAAGTCGCTACATTTTTTTTTTTAATTTTTTTTATACAGATATTTAACCGTTAGAACGTGCAGCTCGGTGCTTCTTTCAAGCGGAAACGTCGAGGAGCGTACACTGCCAGCTACGGAAGTACGAAGCATTAGTGGTTCTCGTAGAACACGAGCGCGCAGATCCTCTGCACGCACGATGTCGATCCTCTTCATCTCGCGGACGCAAAAGCAACGGGAATTTCGAAAAAAAATTGCCGCCCATACGCAGAGAGCGTATTTACACGTTTCGATTTCTCGTTACGTTTGTTTTCAAAAAAAGAAAAAAAATATATATGCCGAATGGATACGTAATCTATCTACGTATCCATCCATCCGTCAACGCATCTGTGACGTAATCTCAGATTTCAGATCTTATTAATTTCGAAACAAATCAACAAAGCACGGGAGGGCAACAATTTGTCATCTATCTGTTCTGTCTGAAATAATCTCTCCGCGTAAGAACGTTTCGCATTCTTCCTGAAATTCAACTTGCTTTTGCATCGTCGTTTAAAGGTGTTGATTGCTTTTTGGTCCTTCTTATACCTTTCGTAATTGATTTAACGTTCTGTTCTGCATCTAATCCTCTCTATCGAGTGTTCGAGGCGTGCTCGCTCGAACGAGAAACAAAACGGTCGCTACTACATATGTACTGGAGGCCGTGTTTCGTTACGGCCGCCGAACGAAAAGAAATCACGTGAGATCTTGGACTGAATGATCTAAGAGGCGTCGCGTGAACTGCGTTGGACGTATTTAAGGTGCCTCGGATGCTTCGATTCGAGCGTGCTCGGTTACTCTTTTTTTTTTTTTTTTTTTTCGTTTACATCTCTCTCCTCTGTTCTTCTTCCCTGTCGCTGAAATCGAAACTGACAATGCCTCGCAATTGAAAGATCTCGCGTGACGTCCGGTCGGAGAGCTTAATAAAAATTGACGCGGAGGGGGTTATGCTCTTGTCTTTCTTTTTCTTTCTTTCTTTTCTCTCTCTTTCTCATCCTTCTTTTTCTCTCTATTTTAATCTTATTAGGCCATAAAGCCGTCTCTTCGAGACGCGCTCTGTCAAGTTCTTAATCCGGCCGGAGATAGTCGTGACTGTGACTAGACGCGCACAACTTGCTCACGTAACAACTTTCAATGCCCAAACGCGCGAGAGGAACGACGATTCGCAGGAACTCAGATCGGGGCCGACTCGATTGTGACAAACGTGTTTTGAACGTCGTTCGATTCCGCGTTTTGGATCCGCGTAGTTCGCGCGCGCAACGACGCATCGAAACGCAACACCGCGCTAGGGTATATAATATATATATAATATATATATATATATATATATATATAGGACAACTTAGAATATTCTTTCATTTTCCCATCGTTATCGTCGAACGATATCGAAGCTCTCGATATCGTTTCGATATCGAAGTAGCCCACGAGACACGGAGGGTGTGCAGAGACAGGAAGTTGTCACCGAACGGAAACACGTATATCGTGAGGCGACTGACAGATTTTCAAATACCTTTTCATTAATATTTACAGTAAGCTGTGTGTCTGCTATTTCGACGTTTTCTTACACGACGTAGTCTTTCTCTTTCTTTACTTTACTTTACTTTATCTTCTTCTTCTTCTTCTCCTCTCTCTCTCTCTCTCTCTCTTTTTTTGCGTGTTTTATTTTTTCGTCATAATTTTTTACTTTTTTTTTTTACTTTTCCCTTTTATTTTTCTGTTACCTTACTTATTCTCTTCGGCAGAGTTTATTCTCGTCGTTGATGTGTCTGTACAAAAATGATGAACCGTGGTGATTTGGTGTGTATAAATCGTTTGTTTTTTTTTTCCTTTTTTTTTTCTTTTTTCTTTTCTTTTTTTCCACGCCGAGACGCGATCCAGCGTTCAAGGCGTCTGAAGGCGGCCGCGGTCCACCTTAAACGCTGTTGCAACGACGTCGATCTCTGGCTTGGCCAGCGTTATTCATCGCGACGCATTTTTATATCCTAGCGCTGGTCCACGCGGACCTAACCATCTAACGTCGGACGGCACGGATGTCTTTCAGGGGATACACGAGTGCGTGTTGGTAGCTTGTCCTGGTGATGACAGCGCCACGGAGAAATCCGAGTCGAGAACCAGGTCACTGATGCAACCGACGATGCCCTTCGTGTATCTTCCGCCTGTTGTCCTCACAATATCCGGCGCACCACCTGTTAAATATTTCGCACACGCATTTTATTAATTTTATTGAGTCGACTGTGTCGCGTTATGTCTACCGTCACATTCTCGAATTTTTCTTTTCGTAAAAAGAAAAAAGAAAAAAAGAGGAAAACAGAATTGAATCTCTCGAATAACAGATCATTCAAGAAAAATCAAAAATTAAAAACAAGGGATATTTTCGTAATGCGCGTAAAATAAAATTTTCATATGAATTTGCATATTTCAAATTACACGATACGCGTGTCAATAAGAATTTTCTCTCTCTCTCTCTCTCTCTCTCTCTGTTTGTATTTTTTAGACAACTTAAACAATTCAGATTTTAATTCGAAGTTCTCCATGTTTCGTTATTAACGCGACGAAGCACGGTAAACACGGTATATTCGACGAATTAAGACACGCTTTCATAAATTCTCCGGGAGCGTGGCAATGTATCAAGCTGTTTCTTTACGAGTTCAACAGCTTAGCGGAAGTTGCCGAGAATGTGTAACGTGCTGCCGCCGAGGATGACCCACTTGGTAATTTCTGTAATAACTCAAAGACGGCTAAACCCGAATATAAGTTGGTTTCTGTTGGAACTTGCCGGTAGTTAATCCTCGATGTTTATGATTTTCACACGGAAACAAACCGGGATCTGAACTATGAAGTGCTTCATCTCTAACTTTTGCCCGGAAGTGTTTTCGCTGTTTTGCAACCGAAACGTACGGTGTTTCGCGACACGAGAAACCCCTCAACTTTTTCAACGGGATGATCGCGCACTTTGCGAACTTGTAACCGAAACAGTCAAACAAACAGCTGCAATAAAAGTGGATTTAGTTAGTTCTTAAAAATTGATAAACTGCAAGAAGATTTTAGGGAAAGACATACGAAGCTGAAGGTTCGTCAATCTTGCCGTTTAAAAAAAAATTCGCGTAGTAAAATTTCTACAAAAAAGATCACTAATTCTGTATCAATTGGAAGAAACGTTTAAAATCCATCAAAATTTTAATATTAAACTACCTCACTGTCGAAACTCACCGATCTTTTAAGCAGAAATTTCTATAATCGTCGAATTAAATGGAATAAAATATTCACAGAGACAAATCGATCTTTGTTAGATTTTGGATGTTTGAAATATTCAGAGCACAATGTTCGGTAGGCGGAAAAATTCAATTTAATTTTTGACGGAAACACGAAACAAAATAGATATTTTCAGAAACCGAAATATTCCTAGTCTAGAAAGATTTGCCGTTTATTCCTATCGAAATATTAAACTTACCGACATAGAGACCCGTGTCAGTGTTCAGCTGTCTGAGCTGTCCAGGCGACGACGCGGATACTCCGGTTCCGCTGTCGACCACCAGCGAAGCCCATTGTTCGTTCCTGAAAATATATCAGTCAGTTTCAGAACACGGGAACTCGATTACGAAGTTTTCGTCGTATTAAAAAAACAAAAAAGAAAAAGAAGAAAAAAAGAAACTTGGTCGATACACGTCGATTAACGTGTTCCCAGGAGGGGGGAAAGGAACTTTCCAACAACGTTACCTGACTGCGCGGACTCGGTGCCATAGATCATCGTCCAGTCTCGTTAAATTGTATCGTAGAACAGCCTCCCCGGAGCCAAGATTATAAGCCAAAGTCAGATAACCACGATCCAAGCCAAGAGCAAGAAAATCGTCGTTCTCGTCCCTTTGTTCTTGCGGGTCCGCTTGCCGTCCGCTCCATAACAGCAACCCGCTACTGCTGCTCGCCCTGAATCTCATATTGATATCCACCCTGTAGCTTATTATCCTGCAACAGACGGATTTTTCCGGTTAAGGAGGATGGGACGGTCTTTATACTCTGCAGGAGGGTAAGGGACCACCGTCAGGTTGCGCGGTAGTTTCCTCGGGGATTAAAGAGGGATCAGAACGCCGGGATAGTATCGAGCTTCTTAATTTTGCGTCTTTAAATTTTTATTAAAACCAGTGGAACAGCGTGGCGCGTTGGAGCTTTTAATAGATTTTTAATTTTTTTTCCTTCTTTCTTTTTTTTTTTTTTTTAATTTCTCTTTATTTATTTCGAACAAAGCGAGTGAAGACACGTAGACATTTGCGAGGAAGATTCATATTCTGATCTCATCTCGCTTGAAAATCTCTGCTCGTCGTAAGCGTTCTATAAATAACAGGATCGTCATAGACTGGAATTTTGTAGATGTATCATTTGGATTTATTTTATTTCTTCTCGAAGAGTAAAAGATGACGGTCGAGGTAGTTCCCTTTGGGATTAGAGAGGGATCAGAACGCGGAGATGGCATCGAGTTTCTTTAAATTTTAAATTAAAACCAGTGAAACAACGTTGGATTTTTTAAATAGATTTTTAGTTCTTTTTTCTGACATTTCTTTTCATTTCATAATCTTTTTTTTATTTCGAACAAAATAAATGAAGACGTTCATGTTCTGATCTCTGCCCGTCACAGGTATTCACGCCGCAACTCTTTATTAAACAAAGGCTGGAATTTAATCGTCGTAGACTGAAATTTCGTAGACTCACTGTTTGGATTTATTTAAAAGCCGCAGTTTAGAATAACGTTCCGGTGAAACTATCGAGAATGGAATTTAATCTAAATTTTAACACTTGACGAAACGTAAAATTAACGATTAATCACGAACGTGAAATTTGTCAACTCGTTGGTACCTCTTCATCGTGTCAGCGTCGTTGTAATGAAGGTAGCTCTCGCTGCCGGAGAAACTAGGCACCGATCTCTCGTAGTGCGTGCCGCCGTTAGGTTTCACCAGAGAGCTGTCCAGAATCGTGTTGTCGTCCGGCGCTGGACACGGATGCGGCATGCCAGGCCGACAGCGACACGTAAATCGGTCCCGGAGCGGACGGCACTCCGCGTCTCCGCAGGGCCTCGCTTCGCACGCGTGTCCGCAATTGCCGACATTCACTCCGCCCAGTGCCTCGGCGAGAATCCCAATCTGTGCAACGTAATCACTTTGTTAATGACGATTAACACGATCTGTCGCGGACAAACGATCGCCCGTACGTGAACAAACTGTTGTCGGGCCACTTGGCCCGAAGAACGATTGACTCGTACCACTTGCGAGGAACGAAAGATTGGCAACGCGGAGTTTTGACGTCTTATATAATCTTTCAACGAACCGAGGTTCAATAGCGATTTTCCATTAGGGCTTGGGAAAATAAAGGAAAGTTCTGGGTGATTGCAGTTATTGTAGAAGTACTTTATAACATCTTGCGATATCGAAATTCGTTGTTTGAAATAATTGTTGAAAAGTGTTTCGATATACATAAACGTAATGTTTAACTTTTTAGTTTCAAATGTCAGTACATTTCCTTGTGTCTTATTCCGTTTGTAGCGGCTAGCAGATGTCGGAGGAAAGACGTTTTCTCAGACAAAAAGTTAGGAGAATTTACGACTCACGTGTCGCCTACGCTATTGAATTGCCAAGTTTAGTTTTTACAGTGCGTAAGACCAAACGTCGCACTTATAGTTTTAGAAATTTGGCCACAATAGCGACTGATGGATATACCGTCATACGGACATACCCGCGACGTAAACATCGATCGTCGTCTACATGTTCACCGCGTCCTCGTGCAACTTTGTCAAATAAACTTAGTTAACCACGAATAAAAGTCTACCACAAATCACCTCCTACCGTAACAAACATCCCCAAACGTTTATTCGAAACAAAAATATTTCGTTTGAAAAATTGGCAAATATTAGTTGAAAATATTCTTCTCAGAGACGTATGAATCCGACAAAGTGTTTATATCGTAAAATATTTTCATCGTTGATTCATTTTCAAAAAAAGTGCAAATATTTCTTTTTCTCTAGCGTCTTTGCCTTAACTTTCCAGTTTCGAAGAATTAAACGAATCTTTAAATACGAATCGCGATGATCAGTATACGCAGATCTATATTACTTTGTCCATGAATCCACCTATTCTATTTTCCCGACAATTTCTAGTTTGTATTATTTACGTAATCAGGTATAACCATAATTCGTTCTCGTTGAATCAGCTTTGATCTGCTTTACGTGGTCAGTCTGACAAAACCACGTCCTATTCTACTTATCTGACAAAATTGCTCTGCACTACACTACTTGCAATAAACGACAATAAACAAACGTCCACGATGCCGATCGTTTAATTACTTCGACGTATTAATACACCCAAAAGACGTATTAATACATGCAAAAGACCGTCAATTATCGACAATTATTCAGACAAGAACGACTTCGCTTCAGTCAATTCGTAATCAATTATAAACTTTCCTCCGAAGGAAGTGATTGCCAGTTTTGTCTCGAGGCAGCTCTATCTCGCGAATTTATAAATAGACGATAATTCTTTGGCGACAGACAAAGACGTACGTATAATAAAAAAGTGAGGCTGGATTTAATTTTCCTCGAGCCACCGGGGGAAACAGCTAGAAGCTCACAATGTGTGCATTCATATACAGTTTAACGTCGTGCAAATATTTATGTCCGATTGTTCTGCAGGATAATTCTCCGCGAAGGGAATCGTCAGAGACCTTACTAAATATATCCGCGTCCCCTATTGTGCCATTAACCATATTTACAAAAGGTCTCTATAGAAACGTGCGTCGCACTTTGCTTATTAATCTTCCAGTACCACTTGCAGAATATCACGACGATCAACGTGTTTCTGAACATTTCATATTTTTCCAATATCCTCTATCTGATAATTGGAATGTGTTTCTGCAAAATAATATCGAAAATAAACTTCTGCCAGATCTCTCTGTTATCTTTAGAAGAATTTTAAACGCGAGAAACATTTAATGTCACTGTGAAACGTATTTTCAATTGTCAAAAGTTTAGAAAGTCTGCGTAGAAACATGCTACCATTGAATCGAGCCTTATTAAATCACTGGACTGGAACTTTGCCGATGGAATTGCTGTTTTCCAAAATGCATCGCAGTTGATCTCCTCAGCCTGAAGAGATGTCCATCCCACCGGCCACCGTGTAGAACGCGTAAGAGCAAAGTTTCTTACCTCACGACGGTTCAAAATGACCGTCTGAATGCATCCCACGAAGCTGGCGGTCGTTTTCATCTTCGGCGAGTACATGTCGGTGGATGGCGCGCCGCCCAAGTAAAGATTTAGGGGCAACGACAGTTGCGTGAAAGCCCCTGGCGCCAGGATTTCCTGCGGAGGGTCATCCTCCACTTCGAGCGAGGCCAGGCGTCCGGTTCTTGACACTCGCACCTCCACCCATTCACCCAGACGAACCGGGTTCTCGCTCCTGCAATCGCAAGCCATTAAATCTTCGTTGCTGCGATTTACCGGCCGCCAAGGAATTGGAATTTGCCATTTTCGTTCGTTAGCCGCTTGTTAACGCATCAAGGGAAGGACACTTTAAAAACGAGAAATTGGCATTTCAGGTTGATTTAAAGGATAAAATACTATGACACGAGGGATAAGATTTACGGCAAAGAGTCGACAGATCAATATCGTTATTTCCTTTTTCTTTCATTAAAATTACTGAAGCACAGCTTTTTAATATCTTTGTATTCCAACTTCTAGAAGAAACGCAGCATGCAAGTAGAGGGTTTAAATGTTTTATTTATGTTGGAAATTTACTGTTCGGTAATTTAAAAAAGTATAGAGTTTAGAGGTGTAAAGGTTTCGTAGAGTAAATGTCGTTGTCAGAGTTTAACGACCGAAAGAAATTCAGACAAAAGGGAGACGTGATCCACAGAATCCGGTTCTAACGAAGAAAAAGATACGCATCTTTCGATTCTCGATACCAACGCAAAAATCCTTCTCCCCTGTACCGCCGATTAAAAATTTGTCAATAGAGCGAGAGGTGGGATTTTCGGCTTCCCTGCTTAGAGTCGAAGGAAAAATCGGACCTACCCCGTAATAAAACGTCGACGCGTAGACTGTGGGAGAGTCTCTCTGGCTGGGATCAGCGAGAATAGAAAGTCCCGCCGCCGTGATTCCGGTCAAACGTCGTGAATGCGAATGAAGTTTGCTCACGGATAATATTTCGCTGCTCCGAGTGAGTATACCGAGAATCAGGATGGAAAAGTCTCCCATATTGAACGACCCTGTCGAGCAAAATCGAGGGAAACTTTCCTATCGAGGAGAATGTTGCGTGACCTCTCAATAGCCGAAAGAATCGTGTATTTACTGGTGGATGTCGAGAGTTGCGGACGATGTGGTCGATGAATAACGCGAGGGGGTTGACATTTCGCTAGAGTCAGGCTCTTTATTTTGGTAGAATTTATTGTCACTGCATTACTGATATTTACGTACTGCATTACTGGATATTATATTTATATATTATACTATATTTACGTACGTTTATATATTATATTATATTTACGTACTGGATATTATATTCATATATCAAATTTATTAATCCTCGTCGTAACGTCGTCGAGTTGTGGATCAATTGGATCAAAAGTTCGAAAATTGAACGATCTAATCGTAAATTGTTATGCTGATAAGTCAGTGGATACTAGTTGAGGATTAAGTATTTATATATTTCTCATTTTATATTAATTAATACTTTCATTCAAGTATTCTCGTACGTTGAGATGTGAGATTGACATACTATGACAATATTGAGAGTATTATTATTCTTATATTATCGATACATTATCGGTGTAACGCACGTGTAATTTAAACCTAAATGAAAATGAAATTTTTCTTCCTCAGTGAAATATCGAGAGCAATGCTTCGACGATTATGGAGTGCCTGCAAGGGCAAGAATTAGGCGCCGTGGTTGGTCAGCCAGCATGAACACGATGAATACGAATAAAATTCGCCCACGGGTATTATTTCGCGGAAAATCGGCGCGAAATATAAAAAGAATATTTATCGATCAGGGTTTCATAAACCTGGCAAACACCTACATTCTATTCGCAACAACGGTGCCGTGTTTGATTTTCGCGAAACCGATGTAAAAACACCGCTCGAGTCGCGTGCTCGGTTAAATGAATCGGGATTAATCAACGGGAAACACTTTTCTAGTCAGGCAGAGAGAGAATCGTGCGCGTTTCAACGTCGCCATTGTGACGAGCCAGCCAACAACCGTCCCGTCATTATAAATTGTAATTCAATTGTCGAAATGCTAGCTCCAACGCTGTTCACCGATGGATTTGCTGACGTGTTAACGGCTCGAAGCTTCAGTCGATTGGTTATTATTTGAGAAAATGACTTTCATTCAGCTAGTTCGATTATTCGGCGGCAATTTTTCATTTCTCCTTGAGCTTCGTCGTTCGTTTAGCAAACTAAAATCTAACAAGTGAAATTCTTTTATTTCTTTCATATTTTGTGTCAATTCGATGTGATTTAGCTTGCGTAGCAATTCTTTGCTCATGCGTTGATATCCGTAAATGTTTTAAATTCGCGTATTTTTAAGGAAAATGGAGACTTTTAGAAATAATGATTTTACGAATACGTATCGTCGTAATTAAATCGTTCAAAATCTATTACGGCAGTTTCTTAAAAATCTCTTATTCTTAAAAATACCAACGGGGAATGAAAGTATCTGTTTCTGAAACGAAAAGAAAAGAAGTTAGAACTCGAGTTAGATTAGGAATTAAATTAGTCGCGATATTCTCTCGCGGATCTCTTCTGCAAGTATACACACATACACACACATACGTTCCCTCTTGTGAACTGCAAAAAAGGATTAAACAAAAATTAAACTCCCTATCAGCAGAGACGGCGGGTGAACAGACTCTGCACGCTCCGAATCTCCTCTTTTAAATATGCAACATTATCTAATGAACACGATGAACAAACAGCGAGTTGAAGCTCGAGAAGCTCGGAGCTAAAGAGCGCGGCGGAATATTCTAAACCGTTTCCTGTTCAATCCCTTGATCCTCGTGCGAGGATTTCCTGGCGAGGCAAGAGGTTAATACCTTCGTAACGAAGACAGGGGAAAAAATGGTAAGCTAACCGGAAGCTGATTAGAATCTGTGATCGCGCGGGAGGACGCGAGCGCGCGTGCACTGATTTCACGCCATGAATATTCAGTGGCTTAATTCGCGACGAGGCCGATCGACATCGATACATCGTTAGCCGACGATAGGACGGATTAAACGATCGGCACGGTTCTTTCGACACCGACGTCGGGCTTGGTTAATCGATCGCATCGCGCGTAAACTCGTTATGCCGCGCGTTACAAACGACGTAATCGAAGCTTCCAGTTTCCAACCAGTTTTCGAACAAACGGTACGCGTGAATATCGACCGGGCGTGAAGCATTTCGCGAAGAGTTTCTTCCCCTCGTCCTTCGCGCTTTTAATCTTCCTCGCGGGGGAAATCATTTCGAGGTAGACGCAAAGATCCCTTCGTCTCCTTCGTCTTTTTACTTCTGTCGCTTTCAATCGTGATCCTTCGATCCCGAGGTGAATATCGCCGAGGAAACCTGCCTCGGGAGGCGGACGCGTGATCATCCCTCCTCCGCTTCGTCCTTTCGTTTTTAATCGCGATCCTTCGATCGCCAGCTCGATTGGGTGCTGGAATCTCGCGGAAGATTTGAAGAAGGATAAGCGGAACGTCGATTTTAATTGCGTTACGGTATTTGGATTGAAGCGCTCGGAGAAGCCGTTTGTTTCAGCGAGAAATAGCAGGGGTGGGCCGATAATGAGATCCGTGAAAAATGGCTTCCAGAGGATTTGTCTACGTTTTACGTTACCGGGGACAGAACGAGTCGAGAGAAGGGAAGAGGTTTCGGTTCTTTCGAATAATGCTACCGTCGTTTTTTGACCAGAGACGTATATTCTTTTTCCGAAACAACGTGTCCCATCAAGTCAGTTTTGACTGATTTTTGTAATTGGTTCTTGCAATTAATTGCACGGTAGAACTCAACACACAGTGGGACAAATATAATTGAGCTTCACTCTTCAAAAATATAAAATATCGGAATATTTAAATGTTTCATTTCTTCTTTTCTAAAAGAATTTTGACTGTTTCAAGAGTAGAAAAATCTTGTTGGACGTCCGTGTTCTCCCTAAATAATTAATGTATACACTAACGTGTATTAATCGCAAGAAAAGAGAAACGCTGTGTGTGTTAACGTAGGGAAAAAAGATGGAATAAAGCCTGTCGGCCCACTACGTGAACCACAAATCAAGCCACTGCCTTCAACAAATTAAAACACGCTTCCCCATCCAATCAAGCGGGAACGAGGCATCCATAACTGGCCGACCCACTTCCCTTTTCCACCTCGTACGCCAGTTCCCGATAAAATTACAATATCCGTTCATCCGTTCGTCGTCCGTTCGAACGGGTGCACGCCATGCAAACGACTCAATTAGACGCGACTCGAATCGAAAGGAGTTGCAGAGGAAATCGAAAGGAACGTCGCGGTCCAGAGACACATTTTCCAGACACGTCCATTTGCATTGTCGTATCTTCTCTTATTGGTGACAACAATGATGAAACAAATGGAGAGCCGTGCATTTTAATCCGACAGTAACTTCTCTCGTCTTTCTCACGTTAAAAATCAACCTCTGCGAGAACTGTGAAATTCGTTTAATTGAAATTGATTATTTCTCGAATTTCAGTTACAATTGCAACTACGAAACAAGGTAAAATAACAAGGAGAAGAAATTGGTAACTAGCAGTTTGTTTTTACTCTTAACACTTTGACGTGCGCGTGCCACCGGCAATCGTTTATAGTAATAATTAATAATTATATTTATTGTTAAAAGTTCTGTCGAATTAGAGATTTCTACACATCCATTTTAATTGTGTAGACAATTAATTTTAATTTAGGGACTTTGCAACCAGGAACATAAATCTCAGTTAATTTTGGGCGTGTGGAATTTTTTCCAAATAATAGTTGTCGTGTAATAAACTAACTATGAACCAGGAGTATCAGTCAAAGTTCGTGTCAGAAGTACGTGTTAGAATACGGACATCGAATTCTAGCCTAGAATCATTTTTACGAAAATAGTGGTGCAAAGTTACATTTTCGTGACAACGGTTGACAATGTGTTAATTAATCTGATATTAGTGACTCGATGAATGACTTCGCAAGTTTCCCTGAAAAGAACGCGATTTTGATAAAAATGTCCATAGCGAAACAACGTTTTCTAAATTTCTACAAAATGAATTTAATTAACAGTGACGTTTCACGTTAGCTAAAATTTATCCATACTTTCCAATGAAGGATTTAATTATCATTTTTCTAATTACATTAATTTTCAAAATCCTTATACATTAGGAGATTCGAATAATTTTAAAATAATCTAATTCAACTACTCCAATTACTCCATTCCACATTAAATCAGAATAACATTTCTTACTTGCTCATTCAGTCTCACGATCAATTAATAAAGTAATTATATTATTTACATCAGTTTTTATATTATTCCCATTATCTTTATTAAATAAATAATAAAGCGAAAAATTTATATTGAATGTCTGTTAATATTTTTGCTATATTAACGTGATCAGGTATACAAATACAGAGCTAGAATCCCGACCAAACGAACGTTCCGGTACAATGGTAGAATCGACTTACCTCAAACTGGCTGGTCCTGTTCCCAGGTCAAAGGTAAACTGAACGTGCCCCGACGACAAGTACAACGCGACGAAGTCGCCGGTAGCGTCGCTGTGGTGGCCATTGTAAAGTATAACTCCGTCGGCGGCAGTCGGTTTCAACGTGACAGCCAATTCCAGCCAGGATAGCGACGTGTCGGCCAATCCGGGGTAACGCAGATAAGAGGATCCGTTGAACGACGGTACCTGCGCCCAGACAATTCATTCGAAACGGTTATTCCACGGGATTCCTTTTCGGCCGGGGATCGCTTTTATCCCGGGGATTCTTCTCTCCGGGAATTTGATCTCTTTCTCCCTCTAACAGACAGGACCCCGTTGATTCGCTCGCAAATGGACGAGAAACGGGGGACGTAAATGGTTAAGAAAATCACTGCCCCGGCCGCTTTTGTTCCCCGTTCTTTACGTTCAAATTGCGCCACCAGCGTGTTAATTTCTTAATGCGCGGTCAAGGGGAATATTCGTGTGCACATGGATGATGTGAAACATTTCGAAAATTTCATCGATGCTGCGATGAGAAACGATCGTGTTGAATTGACAGAATTTGGTACGGTAATCCCAAGATGTTACGTACAGCGAAGAAGTTTTTAGATGCGAATGTATTATCCTCTTTCTCTTTTACGAAACATAAATTTAACATGAAATTTCATTGATGCTGCGATCAGGAACGATCACATCGAATTGAACGTAGAATTTTTTAGATGAATCTGAAACTGTGTATAAGAAGTTACAAGGCAGAAAATTTATAAGAAATCAATGAATGAAATTAATAAGAAATTAAAGATGGTTTCCAACATTGATTGTAATGATTATAACGAATTGTGGCATTACAAGTATGTGTGAAATAAAATGAAAAATTAATGAAGTGTTTGAAAATGATTTGCCATATCCATATTAGATTTGCTCCAAACTTGTTGAAATTCATCACACGATACATTCACGAAAAGCTCTTCAATATGCTCGCAATACCTTCGCGAACAACTCTACGTAACAAAACAACAACGAAAATGCAAAGAAGACAGAAAACACGAGAAGAAGAGTGTGACGTAAGAAACCACATTTGAAATCACAGTTAATGTCACGCATCGTGTGAAGAAATTTCAATGCCAATCACGGATCTTTTTCTTGGACGATCAACGAAAATACAATTCCGTATCAGGTAATTGCGAGATCTACTCCTGAGAATGTCACCATCGCTCCTGGAAGTCACTTTTGAAAGCTTGGCTCGTCGAAGCTTGGCTCTCACAGTGAAAGGAACAGCGTGTAAATCGGCGGCGATGTTTCATCGGCGAACAAAAGAAATCGGGGCCGTTAGGTTCGCCGGTTCTCCCAGCGTTTTCAAGTCGTTCTCCGGCAACGACGTTGTTCCCCACCTTTTATCATCGGCCGCGTCAATTTTCGAAATGACGTAGTTACCTAGCGCCAGAAGGAAGAGAGAAGACGTTGCATGCCTGCCCGTGCAGAACATAGCCAGTAAATTAAACGCAGTTGCTCGGTCGTTATACTTTACTTCGCGTAAATCCCATCGGCGCGGCGTTGCTGCTCGCGTTTCGTTACCAGGACTCGAGGATACGACGACTATATTGGCGAACGTGGCTATAACGAGGCCGGGGAACGCGAGACGCGCCGATGTAACCAGTTCCGCGAAATTTACTCTCCTCGGGGAGGGAGGAGGCTGACTAAAAGAAAAATTCGCTCTTTGTGCAGCATGACATGTCTCTTTCTGTTCCCCCCTTGTTTTCCGGAGGGATTAAGGTAATGGAATATAAGTAATTAATCCTTCCAAGGCGGTCGAATGTTCTCTGGGCGGAATTTTTTCACCTTGATTTTTTTAACAAATCAGAGGTTCGTTACTTGGTGAAATTTATTTTCCTCGAGGGAAGGAGGAATTGATGAAAAGAAAAGTTTGCGCATGTGTGCTAAACCGTGAGGATTAATTCCTCTTTTCTTCTCTTTTTATCTCTTTCGTTTGTTTTCTCTCGTTAATTGTGTTCTAATAGATGGGTTAGATGGGAGTAAACCTTTTAGTAATGAATGTTTTTCGGTTTGTAGGGAAAGTTATTCGCTCGATTCGGTTTATTAGGGATCTGTGTTAATTAACAATTATTCACTCCAACGTGCTGTCGCGTCGATTGTATTAGATTGGATTTCGATTTATGTTTCGGGCTAATTAATCCTTGTCAGTCCCCTGTACTGTCGGTTGAAGTAGAAAGCTGATTTTGCTGGATTTCTGCTTGTTGGAGTTCGCGATAGAAACATATATTTCTAGTTCGTTTATTCGATTAACTTTTTTAAGTACAATTCGAATCGACGTTCTGATTGTCCAAGAGATCTGCTCGTTTAGGTGTAGAAAAATAGTTTAGGTGTTTGGAGAAAAAAAAAGTGGAAAGTCATCAGCTTTGAATTCCATTAGATTCAACGTTCGCCTGTCCTAACATTTACGTAACCTTGTTCGAATGCTAAATTTACCTCTCCGCTACTTTTTGCCACGCTTTCTCCAAGTTTAAATTCACACGGAAAAAATCACGCAAAAATTCTGTGATTCCATGCAATATTTCTGTTAATACTCAATACAATTAATTAAGCAATTAACAATGAGATTATTGGAAAAGTGTTAACAGATATTTATTAATTAAATTCAAATTCTCGAAAAGTAATATTTTACCAAAAAAAAAAAAAATTTGATACATTTTTCACAGTAAGATCTTTCATTTTTTTTATTTCTATTTTCATTCTATTTATCAAGCTACTTCCTGTGTTATTTCTCAAACGATGCATTATATTTTGTTAATTTCTATTCACTTAAAATAATTTTAACATAATTTTATGTACAAAAATTTTCGCACGCTCTCAATTCAAAGTTATCTGTTCGATATTTCACGTTTGATCTTTTATTTCCCGATTTCTTTGTCTGGTAAAATCTCTGATAAATCGTCTACGTTCTATTCCTCTCTGTGTTTCAACCGTCTACGATTCGCGTAACCACGTTATCAGAACCGGAAGCGCTGTTATCGTTGGCGGTGAGGAAGGAACGCTGGTTAAAGACGAGGATGAAAGTAAAGATAAGGGTAAGCGAAATTTTTATGATTTATGACGGTGAACTGCGAGAACCCGCGGAATAAAGTAAGTGGGATGGAAAACGAGGCTTTTCAAGAGGACACTTTCGAAACAAGATGCCAGATAAAACGAACCGGGACAAACAATGCGTCTCCTGCGTTTCCGGGAGAAAAAATAACGACGAACAACGAGGTAGATAAGAAATATAAAGGAATAAATATCGGACGATTATAAAAGTCAAATGACAAAAAGTTAAATTGAGAAGTTTACAATCTGGCCGTATATGAATGACATCCCCTTCTTGCTAGATTTGTTTAACGTTATCCAACCTTTCACACAATATAATTCCTTTCAATCAATTACGAAGTAGTATAGCTTTTATATTTTGCGACACTAGGTAAATTATTGAGAGAATCTCAAAGTTAAGTTAACACTAGAATTACCGATGACTAAAGTATAATATTCGTAGGAAAGAGATTAGAGTGCAAGGTGCAAGAGAAAGTTAATAATACAATAAAGAACGCAAGCTTCTATTAATATATTTGATTGAAGATCGCTCGAGTTATAGATACATATATAAAATTTCCACACAAAAATTATAAATTGGCCATTTCGACCACTTTGGTAGTTTCTAGTGTTAAGAAATTAATCATCGGTAGATTACAGAATTGTACGCAGTATACACATACAAAATATCGAAATTGAAATATTCAAAAGAAGAATAGAGAGTTATATTCGTGAAAATGTAAAATAAAAACAGCGTCTCAAATGAAAGGAAGAAAAAGAAATTAATCATTCAATAAGCTCATCGTCGTGATATTCGAACCACTCTCGCGCTATATTAATATCTCGCTTGGGATCGTTTGGAAATTGCGTGAAACCGCGCCGAATCTCATCGATCGTGTTGTACTGTGGAACGTGCGATTGAAAAAAGAGAGAACGGAAAGACAAAGACTTTCGATAAACCACGACGCGACGAAACGCGCCGCGCAAGGATCACTATCAATTTCCCCTCCTCGACGTGTGTACACCTGTTGGCAGTAAAATTACTGCTCAAGTGTCTCGGAAGTAATACCGATTGACAGGCCGATAGTAATTTTATCAGATGCAGTTCCGCGCGTTTACCACGGCTGCTTTAATGCTTCCGCCATTGTTATAATCGATATGCGGTGCACACAGCGCGCGCGGCTCGCGTATAATCCTTCGCGTGTTTCAACACGCGCACGTGCGTGCACGCGAAGTGGAGTCCACAGACGAGAGGACAGACTGATCGTTATTATCCTCGGTGCTCGTTCCAACTTTTCACCGTCGAAACGACGCCGACAGGAGAAGTGGAGGAGATAAAAATTAAAAGAGGAGAACAGAATGGAGAAAGAAAGGGGGATATCTGTATTTTAGGTTAATGGAGATGGGGGAGGGTCGAATGGTTTAATCTTCTGAGAGTTCGCTAAAAGTCTACAAGTTTGATATGAGATGAGAAGCAAGTTAAGAACGCGGCATTAAAATATTTGTTTAAAACATTACATTACTGTATGAATTGTGGAATCATTAGTGAATAAATTCATTATCTTGAACGTTTGAGATTATCTGTACGTACTCTGTTATAAACATTCAACACTCGACGCGTCAATACTCAAAAGGTTAATACAAATATTTTGTCTTCTCACAGAGACACGTATTTTTTTCTGAAATAACATGGTAGAATTTTCATAATTGATACGGTAGAACAGCGTTTATACGAGCCGTTCAAAAGTCACTTTATCGACTTTTAAATCACTCCGTGAATTGAAAAATGACGATATTTGAGCAAGTATATACTGAATTACTACTTCTTGAATTTATCTCAGAATTTATTATTATTCGTATGACGTTTTTGAGAATCGAACGTCAGTATTCGTAGAATAGAAAGTAGAGAGACTCATGTGAGCTTGTTACTGAACAATTGATGTAATTAGTCACTGACTCTCAGTCGTTTTCACCGTCGAAATGACAACAACATGGAACAGACGAAAAAGAGAAAAAAAAAAAGAAGAAAAGAAAATGGAGAGAAAAACGCAGGATGAAGGGGAAGAATTTTCGATCTCGAGTGGAAAGAGGCGAGAAAAACGCATCAGTGGTTAATTCGATAGAGA